CCCAGCACTCTGGAAGGCTGAGACAGGAGGATCATGAGTTGCCTGGGCAACTTACAGAGACCCTGTCTCAAAATTAAAATAAATAAATTAATTAATAATAAAAATTTTAAAAGTTACTAGGATGAGGGTATAGTTCAGGGGTAAAGTATTTGCCCCATACTGTTCTCTGCTTTATATAGAAGATGAAGTCTCAAGAAGAATTATCTGGTTTAATAAGCAACTAGAAGAACTACAGACTAGTGTAAAAACAGGGCCTGGGCAAGAGGTGAAAACATGTCAGGCTATTTGTCACATTAAACTGAAAGGTACAGGGTCACTGTAAAGGTACATGAGGAAAAACTAATTCAACCTTGATGAAATATATACTCAGGGGAAAATGAAGGATATCTTTAAATATTGGAAAAGGCTGACTTGAGCCAGGGGTTATGGCATGTACTTGCAGGTACCCGGTACCTGCAATCCCAGCACTCTGGGAGGCTGAGGCAGGATTGTGGCAAGTTCGAGGCCAGCCTGGGCTACACAGTAAGTTCAAGGCCAGCCTGAATTACAGAACAAGACCCTGTCTCAAAAAAAAGAGACTGATTTGATATGAGGGGAGAAAACTGTGGGAAAACTGGTTGCTGTGCTGCTCCACAGGATAAAGTTTGAACCAAAGCACAGGAAGTATTTATAGGAAAAGTTTTAGCCAGACATGGTGGCGTATCCCTATAATCTCAGCATTTGGGAAGGCTGAGACAGAAAGGACCTCAAGTTTATGTTCAGCCTGGACAACTTAGTGGGACCCTGTCTCAAAATAAATTTTAAGCCCGAGTGGTGGTGAATACTTGTAATTCTAGCACTCAGGAGGCTGAGGCAGGAGGATCACCATGAGTTCAAGGCCTGCCTAGGCTACATAATGAGTTTAAAGCCAATTTGAACTACATAATGTGAGACCCTGTCTCAAAACACCAAAATAGAGAAAAAAAAATTTAAAAAGGGTTGGGAATGTAGCTCAGATAGAGGAGGTCCTGGGTTCAATACAGTTCAATGTAAGTATGAACTGTCTAACAGAACCGTATCTGCTTTTAACTGGCTTACAGATTAGTGGAAGGCACTAACACATAAACTCTGGTTTCCAGCAGTAAGTTCTGAAACAGAAGCAGGAGAGAGACACATATGTAAGTGATAGAAGAAATCAATGCTATCTATAATGGTGAGAAAAGTTTTTCCAAATATGTCACTAAACCAGCTTTTGAACCTGAGGAATTCACTAGTAAACTGAGTGGTAGGACTTCTACAGAGAGGGAGCTACATGGAAAGAGAGAGTAATATAGACTACAGGGAACAAAATGGTGGAGCCTGAGATAGTTCTGTTGATTGAGGCAGAAGCCAAACTCTGCTGGTGACGAGAATCAGTAAATGGAAGCAAGGAAATGACACAGTTCAAAATGTTTTAGAAAGACTGCTCTCTGCCAGCCATAGTAATGTGTGCCTGTAATGCCAGTGCTGGAAAGGATGAGGCAGGAAGAGTGCAAATTTAAGCCCAGTCTGGGCAATTTAGTGGCTTAGGAAGACCTTGTTTCAAAAAAATTAATAAAACAGGTTGGGGATATAGCATAGTGTAAATGCTCTGGGTCCCCACTACTGTTATATAAAGAAGTAAATAAATAAATACATGGGCTGGGAATGTAGCTCAGTGCTAAGGCTCTGAGTTCAATGACCAGTAACAACAACAACAAAAAAAACTGAAAGAAAGGTTGCTGTGTGATGGTGGTGCAAAGAGATGAACTAAAATTAAGAGAGGTGAGATCGTTAGGAGCTGCTGCAACTGAGCAACAAGATGAGGCAGATGAGATGACCCAAGCTGGAACCCCCAGAAGCAGCAGAGATGTTTCCATCCCCTACTTCTGCTTTCACAACTCAAAAAAATCTTGTAATCAGACATCTCTAACCCCTACATCTGCAATTCTAAAAGCCCTTACAACATTCCTTGTTTGGGAAAAAAAAATCTTTATTTGTATTTGCTCATGATATATTTAAAGCAAAGTGTTTACCTAGTAGGAAGAAGAACAACAGGTAGAGACAGAACCTAGGCAGATGGTGAGTTAAGATAGAAATTTTTCACCGTGTACCATTTCAACTTTCTGGTTTCTAAACTGTGTAAATATATTACTTAAAATTAGTATTTACCTGTATGTGTTTCCATGTTCTTTAGCACATGGTTCTGTTTGCCTCGGGGGAAAGGAGAAACCATTGGAGGATCCTGCCTCCTTATGTTCTTCTCTTGGTCAACCCTTCTGGAAGACTTGTTGATGACTGCCAAATTCTCACTGTCACAGGCAGACTTTGTTGATCTTTCATTGATATCCTTTGGAATGGGAGCCATGTTGTTTCTGGGGCCTGTGTTTGTATGTCGTTGGCCCTCCTGTTTGGGTAGATTCCTGCCTGGTCGGGGCCTGGCCCCCTCCACTTCCCAAGGAGGCCTTTTCTGTGGGTATCTTCTCTGCTCATTTCGTCTGGCCCCATACCCATCCAGTCCTCCTTTTCTACAGGATGCATCTGAAGAGTCAGGGTGGGAAACCCCCACAGGTTTGATATTTTCAGGTCCCGCATCCTCAGGTTTTGGAGTCATTTTGTTACCCCATTCACATTTGAGTTTCCCCTTAACTTTTGGTCCTCTACCATAGCTGTATACAAACTGTGCTGCTTTTTTGGGTTTTGCCCCCCTGGGATCGGCGCCAACAACTTCCTTCTCACTCTCAGAAGGGCTATGCTCTCTGGGATTTGTCCCACTTTCTGATCTTGCCACATTTTCTAAGCTAGCTATATCTGAGGTGTGGTCAGTGAGCCCTTGTGCTTTCTTGACTCTGATATGGTGCTTTTCGTTCCTCAATTTTTGCCAAGGTTGACACTGAAGGCCATGGTTCTTGAGTGACTTGTTAGAAGGAGAAGACTGGAAAAAAGTCTGTTGACTCTTAGGTTTGCTTCCAGAAGGATAACTGTACTGATGAACAGCAGAGATGTCATCATAAGGGACCTGCCTGGAAAGGTGACAGGGAGGTGATGTACTGTAATTTCTTCTGCCAATCCTATTAGAGTCTAGTCTTCTTTGAGTCCCACAATTTAGACCAGAATTTTTTCTTTCCTGAGGAATGAATTCAGCAGCATCCGTACTGAGTTTAAAAGTACCTAGGACATATGAAGTAGACATACCAGTAAGGAAATTAATGTGTCACCTATGAAGCTCACAAGATTCTTAAGCCACATCTAAAAATTATTTTTCTAAGCACATTGTGTAAAACAGGCTCTTGGCTGGTTTGGTGGGATACGTCTGTAATTCCAGCTATTTGAGAAGCTGAGGCAGGAGGATCACAAGTTTGAGACCAGCCTGGACAACTTAGAGAAATAAAATATCAACCTCCAATATAACACACACACACAGGCTCTTAGTAAGACCTGTGTTTCCTATGAAGGTGATGGTTTCAGGTACTTATAGAGGGCTGTCTATCCTGTATCCAGTAGTCACACCAATAGCCACTAAGAGTTGCTGAGTAAAAATGGTCACCTGGGGGCAGGGATTTAGCTCAGTGGTTCCACCGCCTGCCTCACAAGTACAAGGCCCTGAGTTCGATCCCTGGTACCAAATAAATAAATAAAAGGTCATCTGGACCATCAGGTGCTATGTAGAAATGCATTTACTTCATCAAAAAATTTTAATGCCAGCTAATAGTTCATAGATATCAGTCATGTTCCAGTAGTCTTTCAAAACTCTTAAGTAGTATTATGTAATATCAGATAAACAGCCTTTGAAGTTACCTAAAATGGGTTTAAAATCTGGTCCAAACTTACAGTGTGAGCTTAGGAGTATCAGTGGACCACACTTACCCTTAGTTTCTACATCTGTAATAAAGGATGATACTTATTTTAAAGGGTTATTGTGAAATTTAAGATCTCAAAGGGTAGCTTACTGAGTACACTAGTTTCCATCTCTTCCCCCTAGGAATATATTTTGGGCTTTCCATACATAACTTCTACAGCATGCTCTAGAATCTCAAAGTCTTAAAAACTGACCTTATTTTCCTTCACTCATTTTTCCCAAGATGATTTCACTGTAGTCAACTAAGTCACTGAAGATCAAGGAAATGATTTTCCTAAAGACATAAAACTAGTAATGAAATAGAAAACAGCCCAGCTAGGACACAAACCTAGGACTTACTAACTCTAGTGCCTACACTGACACCTAGAATTGCTAAGTTTATCATACTTTTCAGATTCTGGCTTAAAATTCCAATTTTGGGGTCACGGTGGTGGTGCACAGCTATAATCCCAACACTTTGGAGGCTGAGGCAGGGGGATCCCCATGAGTCTAAGGGCAGCCTGGGCCCCACAGTGAGTTCAAGGCCAGCCTGTACTACATAGCAAGACCTTGTCTGAAAAAACAAAACAACAACAAAAACAAAACAAACTAGTAATAAAGTCAGAACAAGGGGTAGCAAATAGAATATACTATGAATCAACATGTAAGTTTCAATGTATTCAATGTATCAGTACATGGAACCATGAGTTTAAATCCCTGTCCATCACTTATTGTGTCTTTATGCAAGTTACTTAGCCCTACTTCCTCGGTTCCTGTCTTTCTTCTTCCTTCCTACCTTCTTCTTTCCTTTCTTTTTTCTTCCCTCCCTCCATTCCTTTCTTCATTATTGGGAATTGAACCCAGGGTCTACACACTGAGCTATATCCCTAGCCTTTTTAATTATTTTGTTTGTTTTGAGACAAGGTCTCACTAAGTTGCTCACATGTGAACTCCTGATCCTCCTGTCTCAGCTTCCCAGGTTGCTGGTATTACAGGGGGTGTGCCACCATGCTCAGCTCTCAATTTTCTTTTCATTGGTGAGAGAGATAGTAACAATGGCTTCATCAAAAAGTTGCTATGAAGATTACAGCAAGTCAGTAACACTTATAAAGTGGTTACAATGTTACTTTATTATTGCTATTAGAACTACAGACTACTGGAAACACACAGACTCAAGTACAGATGGGTACAGTGCAGAACCTGTGAGTTTCAGGTTTAACAATAAGGCCCAACATTTGTTGGGTACTTAATTCATGCCAGGCGCTATTCTAAACACTTTACATGTTAATTTATTTAATCTGTACATATTCCTGATAAGAAAACTGAGGCACAGAGGTATTCCAAAACAGATTCAGAATTCCAACTCAGAATATGTGACATTAGAGACTATGCTACTACACTATATTACACTACACTATACTACACTGACAGAAGCTAGACAGCAAGTACCACAGAAACACAATGAGGAATTAAAAAAGAGTATAAAGATCATATAGTAACCTCTCACTCAACCCAGGATTTGTCCTGAACATTTTCACACTGGCAGAGTTTGGGGTGGGGGTGGGGGGGGGTCACAAAGTAACAAGAGGATTAGATAAACTCAGAAGGTGGCAATGGAATTTGGAAAAGAGATAACTCAAAGGTGGGAGTGGGTAAACTGGACCATGTGGTGCTGTGTAGTTCTCTCTCTTGAAGAAGCGAGGCTGTAAACAGGAGCAGAAACAAGGCCAGTAAAGTTATCCAGAATAGCCTGGTAAAGGATGGGAAGAGCATTTCATTTTGAGGATGAATGAATGAACCCAGATAGGTTTGCATTTATTCACATATGGTTTATGTTCTATTAGACATAAGGTGGTAGAGCCCAGGATGTAGCTCAGCAGCACTGTGCTTGCCTGGCAAGTGCAAGATCCTGAGTTCAATTTCCAGTACCAGAAAAAAAAAAGATGTATAGATCTCAGGTACCAAAACAGACATAAAGTGATAATAGGCAAAGCCATTAAGGGCAATGGGGGTGTGTGTGTGCAAAAAGAATTAAGATGTGTTATGTACATGTATCAACTCCCCACAATGAATGTAATCATTATGTACTGTAAACATGTAGTAATAAAAATTTAAATATTTAAAAAAGAAAGTCATAGGATAGGGGAAAAGGCCGTATGAATCAGGAAACTGGACCACAGCAAAAAACAGGCACACCTTCTCACTATTTTAAGTGAAGTTACTCAGTAAATAGGATGTCTCCTCACCAAGGCCTAGCTATAAGAAGAACAGTACCCAAGATCCAAGATTAACAACTGGATGGTAAGTATCCAACAAGTAAGTGGAGCAGAACAAGGGGAAATCCAACTAGTACAGTATGCAGTCCAGAGACAAAGGTGGCAGTGGGAAGTCTGTCCCTGGGACAGAGGGTTGATTCTTCCTGAATTAGCCTGCCATTTAAGGTCCTCAAATGGGGAGTGGGTTCTGGGAGGCTGAGGCAGGAAGACAAGTTCAAACCTAGCCTGGGCAACTTAACAACTTAGCAAGACCCTGTTTGAAAAATAAAAAGGGCTGGGGATGTAGTTTTGTGTGATTCAATCCCCAGTACAGAAAGATAATTGTGTGTGGGGGTGTGAACTAGAGACGATGCTGAGTGGGTTGTCAAAGGTATTTAAAAAATAAAACAGAAAATGGACTGTATTGCTGATAGTAAAAGAAACCACTGCTTCTTGAAACGTCTGGTTCACTTTTATATTTATGTAAGCATGCACTAAGATCACAATGCAAAATGTTTCTTTTTGGTCACTGTCCGAAAGGTTTGGAAAACACGAATCTACAGTATGCCCTGAAGGAAATGCAAATGGATGTTATACTAACAGTCTAAAGAGGCTGTCTCTACACACAGAGGCAACTCTAGGAGGGGAGGTACGCTAATAATTATGGAATTCCTTTACAGACATTAATTTATTTACTTCCAACTGATAGATGAGTAAACTAAGACTCGATCACAGTTTGTAGCATGCTGAGATTCTAAACCACTGGTGTTCCCCTCGCGCCTAGCGGCAGCTACTCCAAAAAGTACAAACATACCCTACGCACAGCGTGCAAACCAGAGGAAACAGTGAGCCCGTCACCGTCTCCGTCACCTTCAGTGATTCGACCGACGCTAGTCTGTCCGAGGTCAGTGCGATGTGCCCTGGGAGGGCGGGGCACCCACTTCGACTCACTCGGCCAGGGACAAGGCCGCTGTCTGCTGTACTCGAAAACCCTGATGCGGGGTTTCACCACCCAGTCTACGATGGTGGAGGTCTCCGTATGTGCGACGCGCTTGGCTTGGCCCTTCCGAGGCACTATCCCCAACTCTAGCAAGGGCCACTCGCGCGATATAAATAGCCGGAGCCCTAGGATTTCGTCAATGATCAAACGGCCGCTCCCTGAGAAAGGCCCAGTCCCGCGCGGGCCAGGACAGTACCTGAGACCGGAGGCGCCTCCGCCATCCCGCGCCGCAGCACCTAACAGGGGCCAGGCAGCCAAGCGTGCGCTGTCACCCGATCACGTGTCCCGGACTTCCGGCAGCGCCAAGAGGAAATTCGCATCTGCGTGCCAGGTAGACCGCCGCGAAGGTTTTGCAGCTCGGCTGTACGGTGCGGCGCGTCCGTGACGTCAAACTGACGCGCCGGGCGAAAGGAGGAGACAAATATCTCGAGGTGACCGGAGTCGCTGGAAGGACAGCAGGGAGTTAGTTGTGTTACCTCTCCCTTCTTCCCTCCCTCCCTCCCTCAGGCCACTACGCCCTTTCCACCTGTTACCCAGGAGTAAGCTCTGACATCAACTTCTTCAGGATTGCATAGATTTAGGGTTAAAAAATATGTAGCCCAGGGCCGGGGATTTAGCTCAGTGGTTCCACAGCCTGCCTCGCAAGCACAAGGTCCCAAGTTAGATCCCCGGTACCAAAAAAAAATGTCCAAAGGCGCGGGAAATGGGGTCCGCAAAACAAGCGATGAAGGGCTAGTACGGTATACAAGGAGCTCTTAGAAATGAAAATACTAAGAATCACGTATTAATGTCGAACATGGTGGCGCACGCCTGTATTACTACCACTCGGGAGGCTGAGGGATGAGGATTGATTTTGCTTGTCTTGTCATTTCCAGGAATTAAAAACAGACAAGTTGTCTCTGACCCCTTTGGGGTTAGCACTTCCTTTTAACGCCTAATCTCACAGACTATAAGAAGTCAATTCCATTGGGTTGGTTCCTTTCCTTTCCTTTGGTATTGGAACTGAACCCAGGGCCTAGTGCATGCTAGCCAAGTGCTGTACCACCAAGCTACATTCCCCAGCCTTTAAATTTTTTTGAGACAGTCTTGCTAAATTACCCAGGCTAGCCTTCAACGTTCGATCCACCTACCTCAGCCTCTGAGGAGCTGGGATTACTGGCAGGTGCCACCAGGCTCAAGGTACTATATATGGAGGATTTTAACTTGCCCCAATCCAGCATTTTTGGGAATCCTTTAGGAGTTCATTACGTTTGAAAAACTGACCCAGACCTTACTTCTTCCCAGAGCTAGCTGTTTTAAAACTCTTGCTGCTGGGCCGGGGATTTAGCTCAGTGGTTCTGGTGCCTGCCTTGCAAGCGCAAGGTCCTGAGTTCAATCCCCGGTACCAAAAAACCCCACAACAACATACACACGCAAAACTTTTGCTGCTGTGGAATTTTGTGAGAGAATTGCATATTCTCAACTGACTTCTTTGGAATGCAGAATGCCTCATACTACTTGCTCTCAGTTACAGGATCCGCCCTTAATTCTCCAAAGCACAGCAAAGACTAAAGTGTAACCTATAACGATAATGAAGGCTTGAGGATTACAAAAGCCAATGCTGAGAGCAATTTACAGTTGACACTAAAATTAACCATCTTAGGGGCTGGGGATTTAGCTCAGTGATTTCGATGACTGCTGCGCAAGCGCAAGGACCCGAGTTCAATCCCCGGTACCAAAAAAAAAAAAAAAAGAAAAAAAAAGAAAAGAGAGAACCCTAAAATACGGGATTAACAAATCTGAGCAGCCATTACTCCCAGGCTGAGATAGAATGTCCAAGAGCTCAAACCAGAGCTGAGGAGCAGACTGCCCAACTGAAACTGCAGAAACAGGAAGCAAAACCTTTTCCTCCTGGAGTATCTCTCCAGTGTCCTCTACTGACAATACTCAGTATCCTTGAGCTGGCAAAGTCTATTTAAATATCCATTTCACAAACAGACAAAAGGGATAAATTTAAAGCTGAAAAGAAATAAATTCATAAATGACACACTGGAGGACCTACTCGTTATTTTTAAAACTTGAAATACATGGAAATAAGCAATTTATTCTGCCTTTCCTATATAAAGAATACTTTACACAATATATCAAAACTTACAGCATGTGGTGAAAGCATTGCTCAGATGGAATTTTGTTTTGTTTTGTTTGAAACAAGGTTTCAGAATGTAGTCCAGTCTTGTCTTGAACTGGCCACGTATCCCAGGCTGGCCTTGAACTGGGATCCTCCTACCTCTACTTCCTGAATGCTGGTATTACAGATGTGTTTCACCACACATGCCTGGCTTCAAATGGAAATTCATAATTGTAAATACTTACATTAAAAAAGTTCATATAGTAGAATAATATTCAGTGCTAAAAACAAATGAGCTAGCAAGCCATGAAAAGAAAGACAAGACAATAAATGCATATTGCTAAGTGAAAGAAAGCATCCTGTATACTTTATGATTTCAACTATATGGTATTCTGGAATAGGCAAAAATTTAGACATAGTAAAAAGATCAGGGGTTGACAGGAAATAGGGGAAAGAGAATGATTAGCAGGAAGAGCACAAAGGATTTTTAAGATAGCAATATTATTTTATATAATACCACAATGGTGAGTACATGTCACACTATACATTTGTTAAAACCTATAGAATGTACAGTGCCAAAAATGAACCCTAATATGAACTATGGACTATGGACTTTGGGTGATAATGTGACAGCATAGGTGCAACGATTATAACAAATGCACTATGACTATGGTGTGGGAAGTTGATAGTGGGGGAGATTGTGCATAATATGAGAACTTCTGTACTTTCCATTCAATTTTTCTGTGAACTTAAAACTTCTAAAAAATTCAGTTATTCAAATTTTAACCCTTTGGCTGGGTTCTTGTCCTGAGGGCAACAAAAAATGAGGTAACAGGATGACAGGACACAGCAAGCAGTGGGAAATAGTGGAGTTTATTAGAAAGAATAAAAAGGAAAGCTCCTAGGCTGGGGATTTAGTTCAGTGGTTCCACTACCTGCCTTGAAAGCATAAGTCCTGAGTTTGATCCCTGGTACAAAAAACCCCACAAAAAACAAAAACAAAAAAAAGGAAAGCTCCCACTGTTGGGAGGGCCTCCAAAAGAGGGCACCATAGACATTTAAGTCCAGGGACTTTTGTGCAGACTTTGGCATAAAAATGCTGCCAGGCTTTTGATGTCTGGAAAGCAGTTTGTGTTATTTCTTTGTTCCTTGTATTCCAGCCCTCTGAGGCTTCTTGTTTACCCAGAGACTTGTCCTAATTTCCCAAGGCTTATCCTTAGCTCATTTAAGTTATGGCCTTCAGTTTACTCAGTTTATTTAATTTACTCAGTTTACTCAGGCCCTTTTCTCCTAATTTGCCTATCTTCCCTTCTGTCTCCTAGTCTCAAAATCAATAGCCTAACCTTCCATCTTAACCTAGAAAAAGAAGAAAACAACTAAACCAAAGCAAGCAGAAATAATAAAGATTAGACTAGAAATTAATGATACAGGAAACAAAAATTAACAGTTCACTGAACAAAAGCAAAAACTGACAAACTTGTAGCTGGACTGACCGAGAAAAAGAAAAAATGATTCAAATCACTAAAAGTAAGGATGAAAGAGGGGATATTACTGTTAACCTTAAAATAAAAAGAATCAGAAGGAAGTATCATGAACAACTGTATGCCAATAAATTAGATTACTTAGATGAAGTGGACAAATTCCAAGTAAGACACAAACTACTAAAACTGACTCAAGAACAGACAGAAAATTTGAATAGACCTGGAAAAAGTAGAAATTCAATTAATAACCAAAAAAATCTCAAAAAGAAAAGGCCAAGCTCAGATTTAACTGGTGAATTTTACCAATTGTTCAAAGAACAATGAACACCAGTTTTCATAAACTTTTCCAAAAAACTGAGGAGAAAGAAAGGAATAGTGTGTAACTCATTCCAGAGATAAGAATTTCTGCCTTAGGGCAATCACTGCCTACCCTTAAAATGGAGCAGTTGATGGCAATAGCCCAGACTGCTTGTCCATGAAAAACAGGTTCAGACTGATCAGGTACTGAGGGCAGTGGTTCTCAACTTTGGTTACACAATAAAATATATCTACCTGAGGAACTTTTAAAAATCCAAGTGCTCACATTGTATCCAGATATATTTATATCTATACCTACATCTACAGAAGTAGGACCCAGGCATCACTATTATTATTATTATTATTATTTTTGGTATGGGGGATCGAACTCAGGACCTTCCACTTTTTTTTTTTTTTTTTTTTTTAAACAAGCTCTCACTGTGTAGTTCAGGCTGGTTTTGAACTATGTAGTCCAGGCTGGCCCTGAACTCATAGGGATCCTCCTGGCTCAGCCTCCCAAATGCTGGGATTACAGGCATGAGCCACCACACCCAGCAGCATCACTATTTTTAAAAACTCTTTAGGTGATATAATGCTAAAAAAATATAAAAGGAAAGCTAAGATAGAAGTAAAAAATGGGTGATAGAAGTAAATGAATGATAAAAAATGAGTGATAAAAAAATGGGTGATAGAAGTGAAAAATGGGTGGTAAAAAATGGGTGATAGAAGTAAAAATGCCAAACTTTTACTCCCTGTTGAACCATTCCAGTCTCCTTCCTCACCCTTGCCAAACTCTCAGGGCTGACAAATTAGAACATAAGACCACCTGCACTCAATTCTTCATCTCTCTCTCTCTCTCTAATGGTAAACAAGTGATAGCTGTCTAGGGGTAGCTATAGGAGTGATGATCAGAGGCTTTGTGATCCTTGGGGCTCCCCACCACAGGACTCAACCTTTCCAGTTTCCTTAAATTTATTACGACTGAAACAGATCAGGGCTTGCCATTTGGCCTTTATCTCAAAACTGGAAAAACCACTAGAATGGCAGACATTAAGGAAGTTCCAAGTAGGGGAAACTATATGAGCAGAGGCAAGGAATTGTGAGTATACAGTGGACATGAGGACAACAGAAGCAGAATAATTATTAGAGCATAAATCTTAAAAGTGGGACATGAACAGAGAGGCTATGGAGAAATTATTCAGGACTCTTACTGGCAAGTGACAGAAGCTCCAACTAATTTAAGCCAGAAAACAAGGTTGATTGCCAGAATCTTCAGCTCACAGACTGAAAAGGAGATGCAGAGACCTACAGCACTCTGGGGATCCCAGATCAGAATGTATAGCTCAATGCCATGTGGATTCTTTTATTCTGCCTTTCATCCTGGCTCCTGACTGTCCTTCTCTCAAGCTTCTCATACTGATAGTTGAAAAAATAAAACAGTTAAAAAATAAAAAGCATTTTCTCTACTTTCTATTTAGAACATTTGAGGGATGGACTAATAGCATAGCCTGGTCACATGCACACTCCCATAGAAGAGTAAGGATAGGGCTACTGTAACTGGCATTTTTGAGAAAATCACATGGCTGGAATGGGGGAGGCAGTTCCCTGAAAAGGCTGTTCTGAAAAAACTAATCAATAAACCATTATAGATAGGCGAGGGCCAGGCTACAAGCAGTTTTTAATGCCCTACTGGAGATGTCAGGGAACTATTTAAGATTTTAAGTCAGAGCTGTATTTCAGGAAGGTAAGTATAGTGGACTCAAGGAAGTGAACTATGCAAGGAAAGAAAGCAAGTTGTGTATTCTAAAAGACTGTATGAGAGATGTCTAGGCCAAGGAGAGTTGGGAGAGAAAGGAGAGAAAGATTTTGGATTTGAGAAACTTAGGGGTTCAAATCAGGGTTTAACGATTAATTAAACATCAAAATGTAGATATCAAAGACAACCCAAGAGCATTCTGTTTTGTGTGATTTTTTGTTTGTTTGTTTTGGTACCAGGGATCAAACTTGGGTCTTTGCGCTTGCAAGGCAAGCGGCAGAACCACTAAGCCAAATCCCTGGCCCAAGAGCATTCTGTTTTGTGTGATTTTTTGTTTGTTTGTTTTGGTACCAGGGATCAAACTTGGGTCTTTGCGCTTGCAAGGCAAGCGGCAGAACCACTAAGCCAAATCCCTGGCCCAAGAGCATTCTGTTTTGAATGATGGGAGGATAATGCTTCTATTAGTTTAAACAGGGAAGATAGGTGTAAGAGATTCTGATCTGGGGAAACGTAATAGGCCATCTTGGCCATTTGAATGTGAGTTGCCTGTGAGCTTCTGAAACATGCAAATACCTAATTGTTAGGCAGACAGCTGGATATAAATAGGGGCAATATAAACTCAGGCAATAGAAGTATAGATTGGAAAGTCAGCAGTTAAGGGTATTACAATAGCTAAGATCACTAAATTTGAGCAGAGAAAGCAGTATGGTGTACAAAAGTTAGTATCTTGAACACTAACATTACACGGTTGAAGAGATGAGGATCTCAGAAAATCTTGGAGGGACTACTCAGAGGAATAGGACAAACAGAATATTGTCACAAAAACCAAGGGAATAAAGATTTAGAGGAATGATTACTGTTTGGAAGACTAATGCAGTCTAGCCAGAGGTCCAAATACCAACCATTAAGACTGTCAATATATGAGTACTATGGTTTGAAAATACCCCCAACCCACGCAGTATTAAGAGGCGGGACCTTTAAGGGGTGATTAGGCCATGAGGGCTCTGCTCTCACAAATGGATTAAGCCATCACAATGTGAGTGGGTTAGTTATAAAAGGCAGTAGCTTGGTCCCCTTTTTACTCCACAATTCTCTTATTATGTGATGCTTCCCTCCATGTTACTGGTGCATCAAGAAGGCTCTTGCCAGATACAACCCCTAGATCTCGGATTTTCCAGCCTCCAGAACTATGAGCCAAATAAACTTCTATTGTTTATAATTTACTCAACTTGTGGTATTCTGTTATAGCAGTATAAAACAGGCTAAGGCAATGAGTCTTAACTAACATTACCATGACAAGAAATAAAAGAGGACTATCTCCTGAGAATGAACCCCAAGAAAATGAACTTAATTTGGATATGTTAGATTTTAAGTAATGTTGGGACATTTGAGTAGAAAAGCCCAACACAGCTGTGGTGACACAAAACCTGTAATTCCAGCTAGTTGGGAGGCTGAAGCAGGCAAGTCACAAGTTGAAGGCCAGCCTGGGAAACTTAGCAAGACCATGTCTCAAAATAGAAAGGGCAGGGGCTGGGGATTTAGCTCAGTGGTTTCACCGCCTGCTGCGCAAGCCCAAGGACCTGAGTTCAATCCCGGTACCAAAAAAACCCCCCAAAAACAACAAAAAAAATCAAAATAGAAAGGGGAGGGGGAAGAGGTCAAGGCTAGTGACAATCATAGTTGAAATCATGGATGTAAGATTTCTCAAGGAGAGTATAGATTGGAACTGTAATGGAAGAAACACTTAGGCTGAGTGAGAAAGAGGAGCCCATTGGAGAGAAAAAGTAGTCACCAAAATGGAAAACCCAGAAAAATTCAGGGAAGCCAACAAAAGTTTCAAGAAAGTGATGATGAGCTGGCATGGTGGTGCATGCCTGTAATCTCAGCACTCAGAGGAGGTTGAGGCAGGAGGATCACCGTGAGTTTGAGGCCAGCCTGGGCTACAAAATGAGTTCAAGGCCAGGCTGAACTACATGGCAAGACCCTGTCTCAAAAAACAAAAAACAAAAATATAAATCTGGGTGTGGGGATGCACGCCTGTAATTTTAGCTACTCAAGAGGCTGAGACAGCAGGATCACTTGAGCCCAGTAGTTTGAGGTCTGGACAGCACAGAGAGACTCTATCTTAAAAAAGAAAAAGCCAGGCATGGTGATGCATGCATGTAATCCTAGCACTGGGAGGCTGAGGCAGGAGGATTGCTAAGAATTGGAGACCAGCATGGGCTACATAGTGAGTTCAAGGCCAGCAGAAACTACATAGTGAGACTCTGTTTCAAAACACAAAGATAAGGCGGCAGTGATATGTTTGCTTCCACTGGAAGGTTTCTTGAAAGGGTGAGGTCAGAGGGAGATGGGAGAGGGTTATATAATGTCTCATCCCCACCTGTGAGAAGACAGTAAAGTTGTTTTTTTTTTTGTACAAACTCAGGACCTTGCGCTTGCGAGGCAGACTAAATCCCCAGCCCAACAGTAAACTTTTGAAGAGAACTGTGATTGTTCTTGGTATTCCCTAGGCTGGTACAGAGACTTCTAAAGGCCGGTGTTCAACAAATCCCCACTGGTTTGCTGTGCAGACACATAAAAGGCTGATATACATGGTACTTGAGAGGCACCCACAGGTAGGAGGGGGAATGCTGGCAAGAGGCTGAGCGAGGGAGGATAAGATCATTAAAGAAACCCTGAAATCAGGTAATGGTTTGGACTTGCTGCCACCCTCCATAAGCCTCACAAAAAAGTGAAGCTCCTGCTTAAAATTTTTTTTAATAATCCCTTATAGGAAACCAGCACATTGTAGTTAACAATATACTTATGCCCATTACCTCAATGACTCCTCACAAAACCCTTGTAAGCTAAGCACAATTTTACTAAGGAAATAAATGCTTACAGAAGTAGACTACTTAGTAGTTAGAGGGTAGATCCAGAGCCTCCCAATGTTCCCCCCCCCCCCCCCCCCCCGATCAAACTCAGGACCTTACACTTGTGAGGCAGGTGCGGTGCCACTGAGCTAAATCCCTGGCCCTCCTAATGTTCGTTTTTTGAGACAAGGTCTTGCTATGTAGTTTGGGCTGGCCTTGAACTATGTAGCCCAGCTTAGCCTCAAACTTGTGGCAATCCTCCTGCCCCAGCCTGGTGAGTGATGGGATTGCAGGAGTGCACCACCATGCCCGGCAAGCCCAGATGTTTTTTGGCTTTTTTGGTACTGCAGACTGAACCCAGGGCCTTCTAAGCTACACTGCCAATCCTTATAAAACTTTTTATTTATTTATTTTTATTTTTTTTGGTACCAGGGATTGAACTCAGGTCCTTGCACTTACGCAGCAGGCGGTGAAACCACTGAGCTAAATCCCCGGCCCTAAAACTTTTTATTTTAAGACAGGGTCTTGTTGAATGTGGCCGTAAATGCCTGTAATCCCAGCACTTTGGGAGGCTGAGGCAGGACTACTGAGTTGGAGGCCAGGCTGAACTATAGCAAGACCCTGTCTCCAAATAAATAATAAAATAAAATACAGGGTATTATGGCTTATATATAGATGTCCCCCCAAAGCCTCATGCAGTCATAGGTGGGGCTTTTTGGAGGTAGCTGGATGGATAGAGGGTTTGTGCTGCTAGGATAGAAGATGTGATGCTGGGACTGAGTCACAGTTCGATGCTAGGATTCAGGGTATGAGTGCTATCCTCTCTAAGGGTAAGATATATGGGACAGGGCTGGGGATTTAGCTCAGTGGTTCCGGTGCCTGCCTCGAAAGCATAACGTCCCGAGTTTGAGCCCTGGTACCAAAAAAAAAAAAAGTTATATGGGACAGAAAGAGCTGTGGTTATCACTTGTCTCTTGTTGCCTTCTGCCTGCCATAAACTATTTCTCTTCTGTGATGCCTCTCTGCCTTGGTTGAGCCAGCCAATTAAGGACTGAAACCTCTACAAACTGTGAGCCCAAATAAACCTTTCCTCCTTTAACTTTGGGTATCAGGTATTTTGTCTCAGCAACAAGAAAAGTAACTAAGACACAGGGTCTTACTAAGTTGCCCAGGCTGGGCTCAAACTGCATTCCTCCTGCATTCTCCTGTCAGGTGCTGGGATCACATGTGTGCATCACCACACCAGGCTACTTATTCTTTCCTCTATACCACAATGCTACTGGTTAAATTTGGTTTATCTAGTGGAAGTTTTAGGCTGAAGTGATATTAAAAGTATATCCTTTTGAAAAATATTTATTGAGTATAAATAAATGTCCTATACATTAAATATCAAGAAATATTCATTATTGATTACAAGTCAGGCTGTAATACTGAAGAAACCATAGAATTAAAATACCCACTCATGATACAGTAGTGACAATTCCATTCCAATACTGGACACAGTAATTTGGTCACAAGACACCACAAAACCTATCAAAAATGCCATCATTAAGCCACCTATAATACCACAATAGAAAATGGTGTTGAAACATAATATGAACAGTCTCAAAAATCTCATCTTTATATTATCAATTTATCAAGGTCACATTGAAACTGTAAAGTTATACTGTCATAGAACTTACTAAAGATTCTTGTCTCCTTGATTTTATTTCAATTACTAATGAATGAAAACAAGTTATACAAAGCCAAAGATTCTTTTAAGTTAGTCTTTCACAAGAGAAAGAGAATCAAATTTTAGTACAAAGAAAGCTTCCTCCAAGCAATGAGTTTCTTAATGGGAAAAAAAAAAAAGAAAGAGCAGTAAAATTACCCTTTCCTTCAAAAAAGGAAAGAAACTGAAATCTGTTGCAAATTTGGAAATATTTCCCAGTCCCAGAAGATGTGTTTATTTTACATGATGTACTTGAATGATGCAAATCTATGAAGCAGGGATCTGTGGCAATCCGAATTCATCCACCAGGACTCCATCCTGTGAAAAGGAATCAATGTTTAGTGCCACCATTTTTCACTTGATTAAAGTTACAGCAGTTGTGGATGTAGCTCAGTGATACAGCTTTCGCCTAGCATGTACAAGGCCCTGAGTTTAATCCCCAGCACCAAGAAACAAATACATTTAGTAGTCACAAGTAATTTCCAAGTTAATCAATCAAAACCAAAATCCCACTCAAAAGATAATGAGCTTTATCATGAAAGGTAAAGGAAGACACATGAGCCAGGAAACAAAAGAACCAAAAGAGTAAACCTTTGTAGGGTAAAAGAAGAGCAAAAGAGCAACAAAGAGATATGTAAAGAGAAACCTAGAGGAAAAGAGTCAGGCAGAGTGGCATGCCCATGAAGTGCCAGCTAATCAGGGAACCTGGGGCAGGAGGATCCCTTAAACCTAGCAATTTGAGATTGGCCTGGGCAACATAAAGAGATCCTAGCTCAAAATCAAACAAAAATTCAAAAAACAAAATAGAGGAAAAGGAGGTTGGGAGGGTCAAGGAGGAAAGGCCGAGGAATTACTCCTTCCCTCTAGATTTGTATTTTCACTATGATCTTTAATAAGGACCAATACCTTTTTTAGCCTCCTAATGCTTGAAAGGGCAATGCTGTAGGATGGGCAGTCAATTCCACATCATGCTTTACTCCAAAATCATAGGCAGTGACACCACTATTGATTAAGAAAACCCATCTCCTTAGCACATTTATCTTGATAAGCTGTGACCTTCTAACAGTGGAAATGACAAAGATGGTGTAGGGATTTGTTATTGGAGAATTAAAAGGTGAGCTGTAAAGCTGGTGATGTGGCTCAATGGTAGAATACTTGCCTCCCCATGCCTGAGGCCCTGGGCTCAAACCCCAGCATTAAAAAAACTATTTCAGGAGTACTGACAAAAAGCAACCTGTGCACCTGGAATCTTGAAAGAGCTGCAGAGGTGGGGGTGGGGGGGTGGAATAAGGTGGGCAGTAGAAAAAATAAGACTATTTCAGGCTCAAGGGAGAAGGGAGGAACATAACAGGAGGATGCATAGTCACAGAAACCGTTTACAAATAGGAAAAACGGAAGAGGTTTTGAGAGAAGACATGAATTCCTAATTTGCTCAAAATCACAGTGAATAAAGGCAGCAAATAGGACAGGTTCCCACTCAAATATCTGACAACTATAATGTGCATACTCATTGTGCAAATTGGGAGATTAAGCAGATACCAGGGCTGTAAACATCTAGTGGCAGCAGAAAATAAATGACACATTATACTAGGAACTAAGATGGAGTGAACGAGATTTTATAAGCAGCTTATAATACTTATAATAGTGCCAACATATAGATCCGCACAGAGCTTCTATTTGTTTGTTTGTTTTTCTTTTTGATACTGGGGATCAAACTCGGGACCTTGCGCTTGAGAGGCAGGTGGCAGAACCACTGAGGTAAATCCCCAGCCCTGTTTGGCTTTTTGAGAAAGTGTTTCACTATGTAATTCTGGCTGACTTTGAGCATACTATGTAGCCCAGACTGGCCTCAAACTCACTGCGATCCTCCTGCCTCAGCCTCCTGAGTGCTGTGACTACAGGGGTGTCCCATTGCGCTCAGCTTGGACAGGGATTTAAGTTTGCAAAGTCCTTTACATACACAATCTACGCTGCCTACATAATTATATGAAATACCTGTGATTATCTGCATCTTACACAAATGAGGAACAGAAAAGCTCAAAACAACTAAGTGATGTCATAGTACCAGACATCCTGATTTTTTTTTAACTTGTTGACGTAAAATCTTTCTACATTAAGGTTTTTGTTTTTTTGAGAGAGGGTGCCACTGTAGTGCAGGCTGGCCTTGAACTCTCACAGCAATCCTCCTGCCACTGCTTTCCAAGTGCTGAGATTACAGGGGCCGGGGATTTAGCTCAGTGATTCTGCTGCCTGCCTCAAAAGTGCAAGGACCCGAGTTCAATCCCCAATACCAAAAAAAAAACAAAACCCAAAAAAACCGAGTGCTGAGATTACAGATATGTGCTACCATGCCCTACATTAAGTTTTACATTTAAATCATTAGTTTCTAGTTTCTTAAAAAAATCCACCCAATAATTAGTGAATCTGGAGAGTGGGACTTTCTTTTACTCTGCCACTCTGCAAGGAACTTGCATGTGCTGCCAGTGTTTTCCCAGGAAATGTGTAAAACCTGTAAATGGTACCATTTACCATTTGAGTGCCAGCTCACAACAAGGGTCATTATGTACATTATAGAAATCATCACTGTAAAGAAACATCCTTAAACCTCACTGACTCTATTTATGCAGCCTGTTCATTATCTCAAACAAGAAAACTGGCTTCCAAAGGCTCCCAAAATAATGACCAGGACTGACTTTCCCGTCCTAACATTAGACTATCTTTTAAATTCTCAGAAGGGTGGGCATAAAATCTTCACCAGATTGTATAGAAAGAGAAGCACAAAAGGTGCTCACCTTGTTTTTAGTGTCGGTGGGAACACCTTCTGGTATTGCAGGTGCAGATGCTGCTTCATCCAAGTAAGAACTATCTTCATCAGCCAGAAGCTCATCACCCAGTGCATCCAATTCTGAAATTAAAATAGTAAACTGTTATGGTTTAGATCTAAAATGTCCCTGAAAAGCCTCATATGTCCTGGGCCAGGGATTTAGCTCAGTGGTGCCGCCACCTGCCTCGAAAGTGCAAAGTCCCGAGTTCGATCCCAGGTACCCCCCCCCCCAAAAAAGAATAAAAGCTTCATATGTCCAGAAGTGGGGCTTTTCTTTTATTTGTACCGGGGATTGAACTTGGGACCTTGTGCTTGTGAGGCAGGGATGGCATCAATGAGCTAAATCCCCAGCCGTAGGTGGGGCTTTTAGAAGGTGACTGATCTTGTGGGCACTATACTCATCAGTGGATTAATCCATTGATAAGTTCATAGCTGGATGTGCTATTAGAAGGTGGGGCCTGCTTACAGTTGGGTCACTGGGGGTGTCACCTGGAAGGGTGTTCTTGTTCCAGGCTCCTCTCTTTTTTCTCTCTTTGCTTTCTGACACTGCCACATGCCCTCCTTCATGGCCTTCTACCATAATGTTTCTACCTTGGAACTAGCCAACCATGGAATGAATCCTCCAAAACCATGAACCAAAATAAACCTCTTCTATAAGCTGTGTCAAGTATTTTATTCTGGTGATAAGAACGTGACTAATACACCAACACTGCAAAGAAAATAGAAGCAAGAAAACTTAGTCAAATTATTTCTAATAAGATAAAAACAGGAAAAAAAAGGGAAGGGGATTAATCTCTGTTTTCAAAATTAAAGATGATCATTTAAGAAAATTTCAAGTGGGCTGGGGATTTAGCTCAGTGGTTCCACCACCTGCCTCACAAGCACAAGGACCCAAGTTCGATCCCTGGTACCAAAAAAAAAAAGAAAAGAAAAAAAATTTCAAGGTATATAAAATCTATAAATAGCTGGGTATGGTAGTACACATGTATAATCTCAACACTCAGGAGGTGAGGCAGGAGGATTCCTGGGAATTCAAGGCCAGCCTAGGCTACATAGTGAGGCCAAAACCAGCCTAAACTACATAGTGAGACCCTATCTCAAAACCAAAACCAAAACCAAATCATTCAGTTCCCCACAGGTGTATATGGTCCCGGTCTTGATAAGAAGATTATGGTTGTGAGTTGACCAATTCAGATTAGAAAAATCTGACCATAATAAGTATAAAAAGAGTCTGCTGGGGCTGGGGATTTAGGTCAGTGGTTCTGCCGCCTGCCTTGCAAGCGCAAGGACCCGAGTTCAATCCCCGGTAACAAAAAAAAAAAAAAAAAAAAGAGTCTGCTGTAGTGGCGCATGTCTGTAATCCCACCGTGTGGGACACTGGAGCAGGAGGACTGCTGTGTGCTCGAGGACAGCTGGGTAATATAATGAGTTCAAGGCCAGCCTGAACTATAAAACAAGACCTTGTCTCAATAAATCAATCAATTGGGCCTGGGATTTAGCTCAGTGGTTTCGCTGCCTGCTGCGCAAGCGCAAGAACCTGAGTTCGATCCCTGGTACCAAAAAAAAATTAAATTAAATTAAATCAATCAATCAATCAAATTCTCTTTCATTGATGGACTTGGAAAAAAGTAGTAACAGAAGGCCTGGATAATTGCTATATAATGTGGGATCATTGCATGAAATCAGGCTGTAGGAATAACACCACAACTTCAGTTCTTGGGAAGACCATGTTTTTGGACCTCATTGTGAAGAGCTGTTGAAAAGGTTATAAGAATGAAGTTCAGAAGAAAGAACAGAGTTAGGTAACTGAGAAAACGCCTATTCTGAGAATACATCTAAAAAGTATTGAACATCTTATAAGAGAGTTCATTATCCATGTGGGGTTAATTATACACCAGGTGGTGTGTGACCATATGGAAGAGATCATGGCCTTCCATTTAAAAGAAGTACATAGGGGCCGGGGATTTAGCTCAGTGGTTCCACAGCCTGCCTCGCAAGCACAAGGTCCTGAGTTCGATCCCGGGTACCAAAAAAATAAATAAATCAAAAAAAATAAAAGAAGTACATAGCAGAGATGGTCACAAAGTGAAATTCCTGAAGTAAATGCAAAATAAGAGAAATTCTCACAGAATGCAGAAGAAAAGGCCAAAGATATATATATATATATTTATTAATTTTTTTTTTTTGTGCCGGGGATTGAACTCAGATCCTTCTGCTTGTGCAGCAGGCGGCAAAACCACCGAGCCAAATCCCAGGCCCCTAAAGGCCAAAGATATTAAGAGGAGAAGAAGAGAGAAATGGAAAGCCTGTCTAGAAAATACAATCTACGCCTAACAGAAATACCTGAAACAGAGGACAAAGCAAATTAAGCTGAAACAATACTTAAGGAACTAATTGGTGATAACTTTCCAGAGTTGAAGAATGAAGTAGGTTTGCACATGAAGAAGCCTCACAGGGTACTTTTACAATTCAATGAGAAGAAAAGAATCACCTAGACATATCCTTGTGACTTTTCTTTTTGGTACTGGGGATCAAACTCAGAACCTTGCGCTTTTGAGGCAGGCAGCAGAACCACTGAGCTAAATCCCTGGCCTGTCCTTGTGACACTTTTAAATTTCAAGAATAAAGAAAAAATTTTGCAAGTAACCAGAGAAACCAGATTACCTGTAAAGGGGCAAAAGTCAGACTGATCTCTTGCAATTCTAAATGCCAGAAAACAATGAAATGACATCTACAGAATTTTAAAGGAAAATAATTTTGAACCAGGAATTATTTACTTTGGCAAGTTAGTATTTGTGCATGAAGGCAACTGGAAGACATTCTTAGATACCAAGGGGTAAATAAAGTATATCAACAAAAAACTTTCTTTTTTTTTTTTTGGTACCAGGGATTGAAGGATTGAACTCGGGTCCTTGAGCTTGCGCAGCAGGCGGCAAAACCAATGAGCTAAATCCCCAGCCCTAAAATAAAAACTTTCTCTAAGAATCATCAGGGGAAACTCAAGATAGGAAATTCAAAAAACAAAAACAAGAAACCAAAGAAATGAAAGAAGGAAAAAAGGTTCTAGGCAAAAAGAGAATGGGGGTGGTGGAGGGATAGAGAGAGGGACAAAGAGGGAGAAAGGGAGGTAAAGGGAGGAAGCAAGAAGGGGTGGAGAGGAAGGGGGAGCAAGGGAGAAAGCAGTACAGTGGCTCCTTGACTTGAGAACTCAATTCAACTCAATTCATTCCAGATGGCTGGTTGTTACTCAAGTTGGTCAATTGAAAGCTCAGGCTTCTCTACAAAGCTTTCAAAGTCTCTCTCTTGTTAACAGGCAGATCTGTGTCCTTAGACATTGGCCCAGGATTTCTCAATTAACCCCACACAGGCAAGGATGGTGTACTATTACTTCCAGAACTCTTTAAGGGTTAAATCTATATCTGAGACCATCTGGAAGCACAAGTGGCCGGCATTCAGGTCTTAACTCAAGACTCTGGTCATAAGTTAAAACTAAAATTCTGGTCATAACCTGTTATTTGTATGTCAGGTGGGTCGTAATTTGAGGGTCCACTATAATGTTATGGGAGCCATGCGATGAAAAATCCAGTGTGGGCTGCTTCTGCCATTTACCGTTATTCCTGCTAGAAGGTGATGGCTATCTTTGACACCCCCTTCTTCCTCCATAACCAGTCAATCAGCCTTACATATTCAATCTCCTAGAATGTCCTTAATCTGTTCATTTCTTTCTGTAGCTGCTACCACCACCCTAGTCTTAGCTTCCATTATCTCATGTGACCAAATTAATAGCTTCTAGACAGACCTCTCTCCCTGAGGAGACTCAACAACTCTTATTCCTTTTTTTTTTTAGCAGTACTGGATATTGAACCTGGGGTTTTCACACTGAGCTACAT